ATAGGAGTCGAAGATGGATTTTTTGTCTTCTACCACTTTGGCGATGTAGTGGGTAGGGACATTCACAAAGTGCTTCGCGAGTAGAATGATGGCATCTTTTGTGTACATTTTGTCCTTTGGAAGACCTCTGTCCCAGGTGATGGTAATGCCAGTGCCATCGTTCGCAGCCCCTTTGCAGGTGGTCTTTGAGTGAGCAGGACGTTGTTTAGGATATGCCTGCATCTCTAGGATGTCGGCAATGATTCTTTGGGCAAGGGACGGGGCGCCGGTATCGATCATCTCCTGATCATGTTCGTCGAAATATTGGGGCTGCGGGGGTGCATCTTGAATCTTCTTTTCGACAAAGGTGCGTTCAATGTCTGGAAAGACTTCGATAACACAAGCAAGACACCTCTTTTCAAATGTCTTTTCCCCCTGAACTTCCTCTATCTCGTCATTGCTTGTCTCAGAATCGGAGCCATGGATAATGTAAGGGGTTCGAATTGCTTGCCGCAACTTGAACGCCTTTCTCTCCAGCTTGAGAACCTGTTCTGCGTCCCAGCTATCACACAGCTCTTGGTGTCCGTCAACAGTGCCAAGCACTACCGGGAAGCGCTCGTAACCTGGCCCTCGATACATCTTGAGGTCGAGCCGACCATCGACATAGTACGGTGGCTGTGGCGCTGCTTTCTTCTCGGACTTTGCGTAGTGTTGGGTGCCACTTTTGGCACTGACAGTTGGTTGTTTGGACACGGTAACATATCGTTTGTGTCTGTGATGCCAGAGTTGCAGACCAGAACCAGCTTCATTGCGGCGCGTCGAGATCATGGCATCAGAGGGTGCGTTGACACGACGTTTTCCACGATCTTCAGGCGCAATTTGTGGTGAGTCGTCTAGGGAGGTGCTGGGAGTCCATGTTCTCTTGAGGGCTCGGGGTTCATGAGTTAGACGGCCCTTTACTGCAGATTCCAGCTCGGAGACATCGGCATCACTAGCTGAAGTGGTTGACAAAGCTTTGTTGACTGGGTATCGATGAAGGGATTTCCGCAACTGACGGGGTGGAGCAGCATCAGAGTCATCATCAGAGACTTCGATAATGGTGTCTTTGTTACGGTCTGCCATTCGCGAGAGACGTGGGGGAGACCGGTATGTCATAGTGTGAGCCAAATCTCGACGGTCAGTGGGGATGTCCTCCAGCCTAGTAAATAGATCATTAGCATACAGGATAATGAACATGTATTCAGACTTTGCATGACAGAAGCTATTTGACAGTGTGAAGTCTGTCGCGAATAAGCCGCCTCAACGCCTGGTACAAAGAGGACACAAGGCGATTGGGGGAACAAGACTGGCGCAGTGGTGTGGAGGCCAAAGACGGCTGCTTACCGAGGGGTCATAGGCTGATAGGACATGTTGACGGACGCTTCAAAAGGGTCGTGTGAGGAAGATCCGTTCATGCAGAGAGCCTTTGGATGTTTGCAAGTCTGGAATCGGTGAGGGTTGTTAGGTTGAAATGACCTCCTGTAGCGTCCCCCAGGAGGCAGCGCCAGCGTGACTCGAATTCACAGAGAGGTCTGAGGCCGGCCTCGTGAGTGAGGATGCGAATGAGATAGGATACTGCTGCGGCCTGCGCTACTTCAAGTATCTCCGGCTACAGGGGAGCCAGACGCAGTGATGAAGTGTATGTGAAATCTAAAATGCGGACCAGACAGGTGAAGGAAGTGGAATTGGATCGGGGTGAAAGAGTGGAAGCTAAGAGGAGAATTAACAAGAAAAAAATGAGTCGCGGCAGAAAGACAGAATGCGTGAAGTGGACAATCTAAGCTGGACAGCCTTGTCTGTTTATTTGGTTCCTGTGCAGATCCAACATAGTCAAGTTACGCGATGAGGTGCGGTCGAACTGGATAGTGTGCGATTCACGGCACCCACCAGGTGTTGGCAGGACTGGATTGGATGGAGGACGGGTACCAGCTCCTCAGTGAACTGGAACCCATGGGAACAAGAAGGCGGCACCATTGGAGGGCGTCAAGAGCATCAATTGCAGGAGGTAATAGCAAACGAGATGCACTGACCAGGGGGCGCAAGGAGTGAAGGAGTGGAAGGGCGAGAAGGCGACCATAGAGGAAGGCTGAATGGCGCTGAGGAGAGGTGGCAGTAGAGTCCCTGCGTCCTGTCAGTTAGTTTCACTTCTATACGGCACCCAATCATTCTGTCCTGCAGACTTGGAGTGTGATTTCGAACAAAGCGAGAGATATGTACACGAGGCGAAGAGGTTGACGGTGAAGCTGGTGACGAGGCTGCAGTTGTATCTCCTGCCCCAATTTCCATCTCCTTTTCGACGTTTCATGTTGATCAACGGGTTTGTGTTGAGATGAGCGGGTCTATCTCGGTTAATCCCTCGACGAAGAAGCGCAGTTTGCCTGCCCCTGCTGCCCCTCAGCCCCTCCTCCAACACACTATGAACGCATTTTTCTGGCAAAGACTCATTCACACTCTTACGAATTACGAATTGAATGACTCTACATATGCGGCTCTTGTTGCCTTGCCCAAAGGTTTGTCCATCTTACTCTCCACAGTAGGTTAATGCGCCTTGTGACAAGACGGCATGAATATTCTTAACCCGATCTCCTCCATCATTTCCCCGTTATTTGCTCATAAGCACAGGCTTCGTTAGACAAGAGACATCATGACTTCCGCAGACGTGCATCCAACTGCGACCGACTTGGCTTCCAAGCCTCCCCCGATCGACCCTGCCTCTCAACCATCAGCTCAGTCTCCGGACCTGAAACTTGTGTCTGCCTCAGCGCTCGAATACGTCCAGACTGCGTATCTTAATGCCGAAGCATGGCAAGGCCCACTCACCCTCGAGCAATACCTGGAACGCGAAGTGATCCTTCAGGCAGTCGATTTGACAAGAGATGGTCGGATCACTGGATGGATTTTGACCTCTGACTCTCTACCCCCAAACCCCGATGGTTCGCGGCCCATCCTTGCCTGTTGCGAGAGCCTTCTGGTCCAAGCCTATGTGGCAAAAGACGGCGTGCTGAAGAAAACCCAAGCCCATGGCATCGCCTCGGTCTACACTCGTCCCGAATACCGTGGAAAAGGATACGCTGGCAGAATGATGGCGGAATTGGGAAAAAGATTGGAGTCGTGGCAGACTGGATCTGGCACCACTAATCCATTCTCTGTTCTATACTCTGATATCGGCCAAACGTTTTACGCCAGATTCGGCTGGAAAGTATTCCCCAGCAACCACATCCATCTCCCTCCACTGGACCAAACAGTGTACAAATCAGCCAGTTCCATGTTTCCTGTCGTCGATGATTTGACAATGGAGGATCTGAAGGATATTCCGACTGTTGAGTACCTTGAACATCGCTTGCGTACGGTATCCAAGGGTATCCCAGGTATTAATCATGTTGCAATTCGCCCGGATGTCGAGCATTTTGAATGGCACTTTGCCCGAGAGGAGTTCCAGACCAAGGTCCTGAACAGAGGATTCCCAAAATTCAAGGGTGCGATCCATCGAGCCAGCGGCCTCGCTCTGATCTGGTGCCGCGTTTACGCAGCCAAGGAGTCAGAGTGGCAACTACATATCCTTCACACAGTTGTCCCGCCGTCGCTGGAGGATTCAGTAGACGCCCAACACGCAATGTCCGCACTTCTCTTGAGAGCACAGTTAGAGGCACATGAATGGGAGATGGCTGCCGGTGTGGAGGTCTGGGATCCACTAGAACTGGTAGTCGCTGCGGCTCAGAGGCTGAGGACGGAAGAGCAGGGCAAAGTGGAGATCATTACCCGCGACAAGGAGCATTTGTGCAGTCTCAGATGGGCAGCGAAACCAGACGATGAAGTCGTTTGGCTTGCCAAGGAGAAATACGCCTGGTGCTGAAGGACGAGGCTTTCAAAAGACGCAGCCTCAGCGCGCCTCGCTCTTGACTGTGGGAGCGGATGCAAATATCCTAGCCTCGGCCGATTTCGAGGCGAGTTTGAACAATGTTACCAGAATCGCAGCCGAGTCCGGGGATGTATACACTACCAGAGATATCAAGATGTCTTCTGGATATATTACATATATAGCAAACCACAGAGCATCAATCATCTCCCGTTTGATCGACCCTCTTCCCACCTAATACCATTGTGCCTCGCTCGACATATTCTAAGTGCAAGTCCAGGGTTTGTGGTATCCACCCTCCAAGACAGGTTATAACTATGTTTGTTTGTTTGTCTGTACAGCCTTGTATGTAGCAACTGGGAATGGATATTCCAACCTCGGTCTATTGCACAACGAAGTAAACCCCCAACTTGTGGAATGATACCTCGTTTAGAGAAGACTCAAAGGGCGCCCGGTTATCTCTTGGAAATTGACTCCCGCCCGGCTGTTCCTGGTCAGCTGTACTTTGTTGAGTGAGGGTGAGCGAGGGGTGGTAGTTTAGTGGCCTGATTGATGATAGAGCCCGGACTTCTCTCTCCTCAATATCCCTACACCTTGTACTTGTATTGGCTTTGGAGTTTATCGTGCCGCATTACCCCGACTTAGCCACTCCAAGCCACCCTTACAGTTTCGTGGTCCACGAGTAATATTCCGTGATAGCCCACCCGAGTCAGTCGTCCCGCTCTCTCACAGCGTGTGGCAACATCCCCGCGGACCGCGGACAATGCCCTTGGAGATGGAATCCTGGGAACCGAGGTCTACCTCCAAAAAAGGCTTCAACTGATACCTCCTGCTGACCAAATCAGGGAGTTTTAGACCTTCGTAGATGGGGAGTGGGTTGTCGTGGTGCCACTCAAAAAAGCCCATTTAATCTGGGTTCCGTTTAAGAAGAGGATATTATATACCCCGCGTGTATCTTCCAGATCCACACTTTTGGTGGTCCGTAGGTAGACCCTTGAGTGCACGATACAGATACAAAAAGTATCCGAGGGTGGTTTGGTAATTCCTTCACTCGCAATATCAGGTTCCGACTTTTGTAAAGTCGCTCGCAAAGCGTCAATCACTTGGACTTGTTCCACTCGGAAAAATGGCGCCCTCGAAAGATGGCGAAGGCTTCTCGTCCAACGCGACGGGCGAGGTCTTCAACGAGCTTGGATGGATGATCCAGAATGCTCGGGGTTACAGGATCCACGAGGAGCCATATGCCACTCCGCGTAAGATAAGAGTGATCCACATCGGCGCGGGCGCTTCAGGCATCACGCTTTCCAAGTTCATCGAGGATCGGTGCGAGAATGTCGAGTTGCAGCTTTACGAGAAGAACAAGGACGTTGGAGGAACGTGGCTGGAGAATAGGTATGGTGCTCGCGCCCTACCTCTCGTGGTGTTTCTTGTTTCGGGAGAGGGACAGAGAGAGAGAGAGAGAGAGAGATTGCTGACAAGGAACCTCCGTCTAACAGATATCCTGGCTGCGCTTGTGATATTCCTTCCGCTGCATATCAGTTCACCTGGGAAAGAAATCCCAACTGGTCCCAGTACTACTCGGAATCGCCCGAGATCTGGCAATACTTCAAAGACGTCGTCGACAAGCACGGTTTGATCAAGTACGTCAAACTTGAGCATACTGTGACCGGAGCGTATTGGCAACCCGAGCAAGGCGTTTGGGAGGTGCATGTGCGGCGGCCCGATGGCACCGAGTTTGTGGACACATGCCACGTCCTCGTCAATGGTGGAGGCATTCTGAAGTACGTTTCTTCTACCCTTAATGCTTTGCTGCGTGTCCTGTTTGCTGACAAGTGTGCTGCCCATAGTAACTGGAAATGGCCAGATATCAAGGGCCTGCATTCATTCAAAGGCACCCTCGTGCACAGCGCCAACTATGATCCCCAAATTGACTTGACTGGCAAACGCGTCGCCGTCATTGGAATTGGCAGCAGTGGCATCCAAATCATCTCGAAGATTGCATCGCAGGTGAAGCAACTATACGCGTGGGTAAGATCGCCAACGTGGATCACGGCAGGCTTTGCTCAGAAGTTTGCTGGACCGAATGGAGGAAATTTCCACTGTAAGCAACTTACGTCTCGCTCTGGTGGATACAACCGTGGACGTTCTAATGCTGGGAACAGATACCGAGGAGCAGAAAAGGCGATTTGCTGAGAACCCGGACTTATTCTTGAAGTATTCGAAAATGATAGAGTCGGAGCTGAATGTCAGGTTCAAGTTCATTCTGAATGGGACACCCGAGGCCGAAGGTGCCAGAGAAGTAAGACAATCCTTTGCCAAACCACCACAGAGGATGCTGAAATGATTCTGCAGTTTGCTCGGAACGAAATGATGCAAAAGCTTGGTACGACGAAACCTGAACTCCTAGAGGCTATCATCCCCAAGAACTTCGGTGTGGGATGTAGAAGGCCGACTGTGAGTTGATCCAAGCAACGTGCATGAACTCCAACTAAATCAGGATCCTCAGCCCGGAAACGGCTTTCTTGAAGCGTTGAATCAAGAGAATGTTCAAGTCTTCACCACGCCAATGAAAGAGATCAACTCGGATGGTTTCATCGATAGTGAAGGCCAGCAACACGATGTGGACATTATCATTTGTGCCACAGGGTAAGCTCACAGCTGCGCATTGTGATTTTGCGGTACCGATTGGCTGACTGGTGCACGACAGGTTCAACACAAGCTGGATCCCTAGGTTTCCGGTCGAAGCAAATGGACACAGCATTGCAAAGATGTGGGCCAAAGAGGCCTATTCATACCTTTCTATTGGAGTTCCTCACAGTATGCATTCCCCCATAACACTGCCTCTAATGGATACTGAATGTTGGAAAGTGCCGAATTACTTCATGATGGGTGGACCTTACGGTCCACTTGGGCACGGATCTTTCTTGCCCATCATCGAGACGCTTGCAGGCAATATCATCCAGTGCATTCAAAAGATGCAAAAGGACCGTATAAAGAGTCTGACTCCGAAACCGGAAATCGCCGAGCAGTTCAGAGAGCATGCACAACTGTTCCTGAAGAGAACAGCTTGGACCTCGGTGGGTGTATCCCTGATATCCAACTCCAGGCAAGGCACTGATATTCCTCGTAACAATAGGGATGTAGTTCGTGGTTCAAGCAGGGAAAAGTCGACGGACCACTGCCAATGTTCCCTGCTTCTCGACTGGTATATATGGACCTCCTCGCGACTCCCAGGTTCGAGGACTACCAGGTCGAATATATGAACTCGTTGAACATGTTTGAGTTCCTGGGTAACGGCTTTGCGACTCGAGAGTTTGATGGCCGTGATCTATCGTATTACTTGGGGCTGTTGAATGGCGACGATCACCAAATCGACCTCGAAGGCGCCATTCATGACGATCTTGCGGAGCTGCATCTGATACAGTAGCCGGACTGGTGGTGTATACTAGGTATTTTTGCAAGGACAAGAAGCAAAGAGATAGAAACCACTATCAAGATTGTCAATGAAGTGAGAATGCGAAACTGCGTCATGGGGTTTAATACTCCACCGCAAATAACTCGCTACGGTGGGCCATGTCGATAGACTGGCGCTTTTCTTCAGCCTCACCACCGCATTTCTTCCGTCCCATCAACATCACGCATCCTTCTGATTGTCCAGCCTCATTCCCTACTTCGCATGACGTATGGAAACATAACACAGACAAGGGATACAGCGAGGAACTCACACCCGGATATGGCTGACCCAGGCACGCTCTTCTTTGGTCATGACCTCCCCTAGGTCCCTTGGCAAAGTCCTGGGTCCAAGTCCCTGCTTTCTGCCGTGTCGCCTTATGAACTAGCCTCAGTTCGCAAGTCGAGCAGACCACGGACGCCTTTCCTCGCCTAACTACCCAGTGCCATCTCAACCTCGCCTGAGATTATGCGCCCGACACTTTATCACCGCAGTGGTTGCAGATCGCTTAGACTGAGACCCAATTCCCATTTCTTGCGCCCAGTAAGTACTCTTGGTCCATTTGCGACAATGAAAAGGACTGGTGGACACATGCCGTGTAAAATGAATTGATTCGTTATTGTCCACATTCTTCCGCCAGGTATGAGGCGCAGGATGTAGGTGACTTCTGCGCCTTGTTCAAGTGCGTCGAGGTCAGGCTGATTTAGGCTCGTTCTTCTTCTTCTTCCTTCTCTACGAATACCCTTTGATACCCGGTCAGTACTCCCTGGCCATTTGCCTGATAAATGCGGAGCTCCCATGATCTTCCGTGCATCACCTCTTCTGCCCGCTCAGCTCACATTTCGCCTTCAGCAAGCGGTTGGTGAGGATCACCAGCCATCTGTTGCTGCTCGGTCTCGGTGCCATCAAGATGTCTTCCCTAGGGCTGAAAAGAGTCTCACTCGGTGAGGCTGCCGTCCTAGGAAGCCTGTACGATGCACGGACCGACTCTTTTCAACCACTTTCGTTGCTGAGCCGCCAGCTTCCCGAGACTGCAGTCACTAGCGAGGCGCGTCCATCGTCTCGATTCAGTGTTGTCGAGACTTCTGATCTCAAAGACAAGTTTAACGCTGTTGGAGTGCACTCTTCTTTGGGAGCCAGCATCCTTTCAGGGCTAGTTGTTCCTTCGGGCTCGACAAGCGCTCTTCTCGACCGACATGGGAGTAATTTTATCGTCCAAATGTCCCTACAACATGTCGTCACCACGTTTCTCGAGAAAATCAACTTTACAAGCCCTGAACTGCAGCAGTGTATCTCTCGGGAAAACATACAGCAAAGCCATGCCACACATGTGGTGTCAGAGATCACATGGGGTAGTCGGAGCATCCTAACAGCAAACTATCATAGATCAGCAGGCGAAGATAGGAATACGGTGAAAGAGCTACTACGAAAGGAATATGCCAACATTGAACAAAAAATCTCTTTTCCTGGAACCCAGACTGCAGACTCGTCTCAATCCCATGACCTGACCAATTCGCTTCAAGTTTATCTACGCACAGACATGTCAGGAAGCAATCCACTAAAGACCGACCTCGAAGGAGCCTGCCAATTCATGCAAAATGTACCAAATCAGATCTTGGACATGGATGGGGGCTGGGGACAGCCTATCGTTTACACGCTGCTCCCAGTGCACTGGCTCTCACTGATTTTGAATTTCGAGCCCAGCGGAATCGTGGTCAGTCAGCCGAACGAAGACCTTCTTTCGGACTACATGAATATGTTCGAAGAGATCAGGAACGCTCAGCGGCGACTCAAGGATTACTGGACCTATCTTTCTCGTCGGCGTGCTCTTGTACCGGAGGATCATATTCGCGAAGTCTCTGACTTCCTTGCTCGTGCCAATCAATCAGAGGGTGTGCTAAGGCAACAATACGGCGTGGCTCTGCGCGATTTTCGAAATGGTCGGATGGGCTCAAGACAGCTGGGGCAAGTCCTTGAGAGATTCGTCAAGAGCCCCTATTCACCGGCCCAGCTTACTGCGGTAGCAGATGTCTATGCTCGAAAACTGGCTTTCATCGACGAAACAACAAAGAATGGAGCAGCCTTCTTTTCCAACGAATGTTCGGTGCCGACACCTCGTGGCCATGTGTATACTCTTTATTTCAGCCGCACCGCTATGGATGACAATGCAACTTGGGGGCCCAATTCGCAACTTACTTTTCACATACTTCAGAGTGGCACCACGCAAACGTCGGTTCGAATTGTGGACTGTGACCATAGCGGGCAGTCTTTCGAGAAGTCCCATATCATGTACCATCGCGACGGCAAGCTGATCACAAACGACTTCCAGAAACTTCAAAACTTCCTCGCAGACAAATGTTTGATGCATTTCGACGATGCCCATCTTGATACGTGGGGAACCAAGAAACCAATGGATCGGAAGCCTGTCAAGCTATCTTGTCCGGGACGAGGCTGTGTACCTCGAACAAAACGTCAGTGGATCTGTTCTCGATGTTACTCTACCATCGACTACGGCCGGCGAGATCACTACCTGTACTGCGACTGTGGTCGGACAAAATATCGTTACTGGGGTTTCAGGTGCAACGCACAGCAGCATGGACCAAACTTTGAGCGATATGAGGACCGTCAACTTTTGGCAATGCTCGATGCCATGGACCCATTTGAAGAAGTCAATATCTTGATCCTGGGAGAGACAGGTGTCGGCAAAAGTACCTGGATCAACGCATTCGTAAATTATCTCACCCACGGCACTTTGCAAGAGGCGATGGATGCAAGTGAAATAGAGCATGTGATTCCATGTTCGTTTGCCACTCAGACGGTGGACGAAAACGACCCTCTGCAGAGACTGATTCAAAGGAAGATCAGGATCGGGGCAAGAGACGAGTTTGAACATGACGCCTCTGACGGCCAGTCGGCCACCCAGAAGGCTATCACGTACCCTATTTTCGTCAATTCGGTCATGGTGCGCTTGATTGATACTCCTGGTATCGGCGATACCAGAGGTCTGGACCAGGACAAAGCCAACATGGCGGACATCCTGTCAGTGCTGAGCAACTACAAGGAGCTGCACGGCATTCTGATACTCCTCAAGCCAAACAACTCTCGATTGAACGTCATGTTCGAGTTTTGTATCAAGGAATTGTTGACACATTTGCATCGAAATGCTGCACGCAATATGGTGTTTGGTTTCACCAACACTCGTGGTTCGAATTATCATCCTGGAGACACCTTCATACCACTTGAGGCTGTGTTGAAACAATTCCGCGACGTCAATCTTGGGCTGTTTCGCGACACAGTCTATTGCTTTGACTCGGAGAGCTTCCGCTACCTGGCTGCTCATAAACAAAATGTCAGCTTGGGCAGCTTCAACGATTATTGCCGGAGTTGGGAGCAGTCTGCTACCGAGTCTCGACGTTTGCTCAACTATATCCGCCAGTTGGAGCCTCATCAAGTGGAGAATACTCTCAGTCTGAACGAGGCTCGACGCTTGATCCTCCAGTTGACCAAGCCCATGGCTGAGATAGCACAAAAGATCAATGATACCATCGAGTTGAACCAAAGAGACAACGAGCTGTTGCGGAACAGCAAATTGAGCAAGGACGAAATGCTGAAGAAATTAGACGTAAAGCAGAACTCGGTGGTCTTCAGCCCAGTCACTCGCCCAAAGACCGTCTGTACCAATGCGAGATGCATCAAAAAGGTTGATACTCCAGGCCCCAATGGAGAGGACACTGTACACAAAGTCCTCTGTCACAACCCTTGCTGTCTGACCAATGTCCCGGTTGAAAAGGTGGGAACACCAGAGTTGGTCAGATGCGCGGCATTCGCCGGCTCACAGCACTGTAAAGGTTGCAGGCATCATTGGACAGAGCACAAGCATATCCTGTACGAACACAAGGAGACGAAAAGGACCATCAAAGATCCGAAAGTCGAGATGTTGTTGCAAGAGAATGCAAAGGTCACCACCATCATCGAGGCTGCAATCAAGGCGAAAGAAGCCACGGTCGCAGAGTTCAAACGCGAACATAAAGAGATTCAAAAGGCGGCAGTACAGTTTAGCTTGTGGCTCAAGCACCATTCCATCACCCCGTACAACGATGCCACGCTGGAGTACCTGGACCATCTTATTAAAGAGGAGAAGTCCAAGGTAGCGATCGGCGGTAAGAGGCAACGGCTCGATGCTTTTCAGCAGTATCGTCGCGAGTACAAGGAGCTTGTCGACCTCTTCGAATCCAACGTGGACAAGGGCAGGAACGAAGAGCTTTTGGACGCCAAGGGCGTCGACAAACTCGCGAAACGGCTGTATTCGCTGAAGCATTACGGCGCAGACCTCCGCAAGTTGCGCGATGCCGTGGTCATTGCGCACACCGCATCGATTCGCGAGAGACCATACCGCGTCAACGCGAGACCAGGGTTTATGATATCCACGATTGCTCCATCGTCTTTCCAGGCCTCGATCAGAACTCGCCCCGCGCCAAGTACGATTACTACATTGCCTGCCATCAGCCGCACGCAAGCACCGCCTATGGCTGTGTCTGTGTCTGACGAGAAGCAAGTCGTGGGGAGTGCAGGCGGAAGCGGAGCGACCTCCCTGCCCGGCAGGAGACATGTGAGCACGCCAGAGGCTGCCATCTCGGGTGCTCCGCCCTCTTATTTCGAGGCCGCCGTAACCCCAGCCTCCTGGGACTTGAATGGGAGAATGAAGAACAAACGCAAGACAGCTCGGTCGTTGAGCGGCAGGCTGACCGAGCGGATGTCGTCCATTTTTAGATGAGCGGTTGTCAGACCTTGTTATTACTTGGTAATTACAGCACAGTCAGCCACTTGACGGAACGGATCCTGGGACGCTCACAGACCTCAGGTCTCATACTCCGCCCGTCAGGCCCATCTATGCAGTAGTGAACTGATTGCAAGGGGCTCTATTACTGGGAGATATGATTGTCGTGGTGATTAATTACTGGCAGATTGAACAAAGT